CTCTCCACTCTCAATATGCATCAAAGATCTAGCAGACCTTTCAGTTGTTAATTTTATTTCTTGCATGTTATTATCCTGTTGCAAGTTAAATTCCTGCATTTCTGTCTCACCATTCTTTTGAACTATATGTTCTTGAATATTATTGGATCTGCTGTTTTCTTGTGAAATATTCTTTAACTGGGATGATTCTTGAGGAATTTCTGATGAGTCGTTTTGGCTTTCTCTGGTTATATTTTTTTCCTTTGGCGAACTTGCTGCATTTTTTGAAGTATTTTTATTCCGATCTTTGCAAGGTTCATCATCACTATCATAAATAGTTATTACTTCTGGTATTTTTGGAGGAACTTCAATTATTTCAATGCTATTTGTGGATGTAGGAGAACCAGGATGTGAATAATTTTTTTCCTTACTAGTAATTTTTTCACTCTTTTGTGCAACAATATTTTTCTCTACATTTAACATTGAATTTAAAGAAAAACTGGAAATATTAGTCTGACTTAGGTTCCTAGAAGAACTATGACCCAATGTAGCAATATTTCTGGACGAAGAAAAGGGTGATTTTTTGTTCTTTTCTTTAACATGTTTACTGTACCAATGCCATGGAGGTATTGAAGTATTCAAACAAGAATTGCCAGATGTAATATTGGAAGCGAATCTTTGATCACAAGATAGATGAACACATGATGAATAATATTGATTTCGAGTTCTCTTTGACTCACGTCTCTCTCTTTCTTTTGGTCCCAATGAGGACTTCGATATTCCCCATTCTTTTGCTGTAGAACTGCTTGGTCTGTGTGTGTGATACCATTTATGTGCTGGAGATGTTCTGTACCTAGCTCTTGAACTGTGATTTGAGATGTAGGCATCATCAGGTACTCCTGGTTTTCCCCCATATGTATTACAGTTAGATTTTCGTGAACACGATTTTGATTCATCCCTACGGCATAAAAGAAAAGTTTTTGAACATGTTTCTCTATCTGTACCTTTATGAGAAGTTGAACTCCCGGCTGTTTTTGATGGAACTTCTTCCATCGGATCATTATCATCATCATCTTGAATTTCGCCTTCTTCAGGTTCATAATCATCTTTCCTGCTTTCCAGGGAATATTTTGTCATCGCAATACCCCCTCCCCCCCAAAAAAAACTCACAAATTGTCACCTGTTTCAGCTATGCAAGAGTTGAAAAACGAAGGACCTATTGATACAGGCTAAGGAACACTCATATCAATCGTATTTGCCAAATGTAACATTAAGCACACTACAATTTGTTATTGTTTACCTTCAAGAAATGGTACAAAATCCTTTTATGATGGCGTTCTCTTAGTTAGTACATCTCACGCATGAACGTTCATATTCAGGGAGGGAATCGTTGAGAAAGGATTTCCTGAAAAAAAAAAAGACACACAATTTAGAAAGAAATTAATCGCTATTAGATTGCTGTTTGTCCAGTTTTATGTCTGCCGTGAACATACTCCTTACAATATTATCTTGCCAAACGACAGAGATAGCTCGCTACTGCAGTGTATTATGGGATATTTTACACAACAAACAATATAAAACATACCTCGAGTACTCGATGAAAACAAACATTTAACCAATCGCTAAGCATAAATTTGTTTTTCCTAGTTATTTCAAAACGCAACAATACCAACAAGCACGTTCTCAAAGCCGGTACTAATCATTAACGGGGAATTTTTACATTTCTACTTAATTAGATGGTTGCGTCCTATATCACCCGTCGGATCGTTTTAGCGTAACATAGCTTATCGCAGTGAAATGTTTGATTTCAAAAATTAGCAGGATGTACGTCTAGTAGGCTACATGTGAAATCTTAAAGAAAAGACGTTGTACTTGCAAGCACTTTCTTTTAATGAATTATTTCTGTAGATATCCATTTCTGAAGTTAAATTTTGTTTCGCGACAAGTTGTTGGAAAACAACTTATAGCTCTGTATACAGCGTCCGAGGTTAAGAATGAAGTACAGGGTCTTATGGGCTTTTCCGGTAAATAAACATCCACCCCGTTTTAAAAATTTCAAAACCTGTTTAAATACTCATTAACATAATTTTTCATAACAAGAATTACAGTAGTAAAATAATTCCTCGAATACATTATATATTTACAATAAAATGAGCGAATATCATTCGAATTTATTAATTTTTGTATGAAGGGATACGTTAGGTTGTTGGAAGCGGTGCCACGTGCTTCGGTTGCCATGTCATACTATGCTAAGAAAGTTGGATTTACAGTTGTTTACCTGTGATTGTGCGCCTGTGTTTAGTTTTGTTTTTGAGATTTATAGTCAATCACGTTAAAGTTGAATGTAATTTAGTTTAATTGTATTCATTTTAGTTTTTAGGTTGTAAATTTATTAATTTACAAGTTTTTAAATTTCTTTCCTGTTTCTTTGCAAACTTAATTTAGAATGTATGAGCAACAAACTGTAAAGCGTCAGAGTGGTAAAGTGCTCCACACTGGAGAAAACAAATTGTTATTAATGCTTATAACTTCAATTATGTTTTAGAACGGGATTCCTACTCACTGCCTACCGGGAGATAACTGTCCGCTCTCCCGGCGCGAGGCATTTCAGCTTCCCGTGAATCAAATCAGTTTGTTCCCATCGGTCCGACTGATTTTGTCGTCAAAGGACTATTTTAATTATTTTGTTCGGTAATCAAAACTTATTATTTCTTTACTGTAAAAAAAGGAAACAGAAGCTTTGGTCTTTTTGCAACTGGATGTGGTTGGTTTGAATTTTGAAGATAGTATTGAAATGGTGGTTGGTGGTGGTATTGAAATGGTGGTGAAAACTAAAAATTATTTTTTTTCTGATTTCTAATGACATTTCGAAGTACAAATAACATGAAAAGCTTAACAGAAACGTTTCCTGTGTATAGGAGTCTCGTAGAAATATTTTTTGATATGAAGAAATGGATGAAAATACGCTTTCATAAAATTGGAAAAGTTCAGACAAAATACTTTAGAGTTAAACTAGCGCTCTGCCCAATTGCAGGATTCGTCGTCACCAACGAGTGCATGACTTTCGCTTCATACAGTACAGCAGAAAAGCGTTACGTTTGGCATCACTGTTGTCATAAGACACCGTACTTCATTCTTAACCTCGGACGCGCCATAGAGGTTTCCTACTGGCGATCATAAAGCATCGTGATAAGAGCAAAAGCGAATGACTGACTTGAGAACATTGAACGAGACTTCTTAATTTCCGTGTGATAATAACGTTTAATCTGGTCGTGCTTTAGGTAGCTATTTTTCCGCCCAATAAATATTTTGTTCTGTTGATACCGAAGGTGCTAAACTGATAATTAATTCACTAAAATAAAACATAATAATTACTACTCTAATAATTAAACGATCACTAACGGTTTGCGAGGAAATGGTAATTAAGAGAGTTCCATGAGCACTTTACATATTTTGAGAGTGGTAGTAGGTTTACCAACTGCAATGAGAAAAATTACAAAAAAACAAAAAAAAAAACACGATTATAAAACGCGATCCTGACAGAATATCCTTAGTAGGACGTTAGCATACATTGCGTTAGCAGTTTATTTTCGTACATTACATACGTACATACGTTAAGACACAATATGTACCATATCTCACCCTAGCTACAAAAGTGCCAGAACACAAAAATACAATTTTTCCTAGGATCGCTTCTCTCTTGTTGCTATCAAATTCCAACACCCTATTGCAAGGTCAGCAGCCCTGTGTCGGGCAATGATAAAGATCCTCATTCGTGATGACTAGTCATCATTGTTTCTCAAATCTTTGGTGACAACAAAAATGTAGGGTTTTGAGTAGTCATTTTGAAGCAAGAATACGACATGGTTCCCAATGTTTATCTCACAGCATATTCAGCCCATTTACAAACGCGTTCAGTAATGAAATCGATTACGCAATTAATGTGTTTGACGCTATGCATACCCTGAAAGAAGCCCTTTTTCTAAACTACTTTACTGTCTAAAATTATTATTTTTCATTTTTATGAACTATACAACGAGAGAACGAAAGGGTTGTAAACATCAGTATACTGTGTAAACATTGCCACGTGGATAGGCAGTCGCTGATATGCAAGCCTCTGATGTACATTCTTCCTCAGACTTTTTTAAGTACACGCGTAGGAAAATAGTTGAAATTCAAGTAAATGTTTGTAATAGACTGCAGATAATCAAGTGTCTGAAGTAAGTGTTATTTACATTACATGATATGTGTTACTTAGAACGAGAAGAGTAAATGAAGTTTCGATGTAATGGCGGACAGCGTAACACGTGTGCTTATTGCGAACATAGAGTAGAGATATATTGTATCTCTTCTCTATGATTGCGAATAAAAAAAAATTGATTTGAGCAGATGAATAAGCGTAAAATAAATTCCAATTACTAGGTCAAGATCTGTTGTTTAAAATACGTAAATTCTGTTCGAAATTAATTACCCATATGGGTGTCTCGTCGAACATTTCGATAACATACGGCGAGAAAGTATGTGCTGCAGATCATTAGTTTAGTTTACATACGTTTCGCAGAATGATTAAAATATGTCGGCCGGTTTATATAGCTGGGAAGGTTTGAACTTTTTTGATTGCACAAATTATGAAATTTATCTTTTCTCGCTATCCTTGCGATGAAAAGTTGTAAGTCACGAAGTCTATGAGTCCTCACAGATTTCATGTTAGTGCTTTATTATGTAAATACTTATCATTATCAATTAAATGCTGATATTAAATAATCAAATCATTAGGGTTTTGAATTTATTGGGGTATTATAAATTTACTTTTATATTAAAAAATAAAATTTAATATATAAATATAAAATCAAACATTAAATAATGATAGTAATAATAGTGTAAGTACTAGATTATTAGAAACCACAGAACTGCGGAAGATTTTCCAGGTCACAACACTAGGTTTGCTAGTGAGCAGTTGTCTCCCAGTAGTAGTATGACAAAAGTTCAGTGTCCTGTATTGTCTATATAGTATTTGTTAGAAGTCTGTTCGAGCTACTACGCTTGATTTTGGATGTTTTGAAGTGGACTGTATTGATAAGGTAGGAGATGCACAGTAGTCCCGAAACTCTTTGATAGCTCAGGAAGGATTTATGTAGGAGTTCTGGATTGACAGAAAAGAACTCTCTGGAAAAGAAGTTCTTGCACAACTACATTTTCTAATCACTTGATTACATGGCACAGCAGTACATGACACATCATAGTACATGATAGCTGGAGCACAGTACTAGAAATTTCTTGTTGCGAGTGGTCTAGTGTAAAAAACTTACATTACTCAGACAGCATAAGTGGAATTTGTTGTAGCGCACGAATTGGGTCAAGCCCTACTTCGCACAAATAAAACAATGGTTTGCGCATGATAACCGGGAACAGACCGAGATTACACAATAAGCTGAATGCCCAAGGGGTATGTTGCAGATAACTTACACTACACAGTACACTTCCAGTTGCACTTACCAACTGGGAACAGTTTGGACTGTCCAACCTTGGGGTTGGACAGTAAAAATTTTACGTATGTCAATTACACACGGAGCCCGCCAACACGGGCCACACGTGTGGCTTCGCTCGGTGCTTGCTGCGGAACTGAAATATCGATTATACGACGGGAGCATCGTAGATCGCCAGTTTTCGAAAGTTGAAAGAAAAAAATGGAGTGGTTTCGAGACAAAAAAAGTGTTACAAATATTTTAAATTGCCTATATTTTGCGCCTAAGTACATGAACAGCACTGAAATGTCAAAAAACGAGCTTAAACATATTTGAATATCTTTCCTCAAGCAACAGATTTCAATAAGGAAACTAGTGATGCTACAACAGCCCACACTTTCTCGTATTATTTGTGACTGCTCGGATTATTTCCAGCTCATCATAGATACATATTTATTATTTCTGCAGGTAAGTTTATGCAAACTGGTGGCAGAATACTACAATTTACATATTACAACTAAGAGTATTATTCCAATGTAAATTAAAATTATTTTGTCAGTAATAATAACAACAATAAAGTAAACAATAGCACTAACTCTACATTTTATGTCTGTCTTGAACAGACATTTTAAACTAATAATACACATTTTAATTTCACTACATTTCGCTTTACTTCACAACACGCCACCACGCTTCAATACAAAAACTACTTTGAATATAATTATTTATTTAATAAAGCATTGCATTTAATAGTGAGTGTCACAATACTAGTAGTAATACTACTACTGCCACCACCTCCACAACCACCATCACTACTACCACCACCACCACCACTACTAACATCACCACTAAACCACCACCACCACCTTCACAACCACCACAATCATCACCACAACCACTACTACTACCACCACCACTGCCCCTAACACTATCACCACCACCACCACTGGCCCTATCACCACCACCACTTCTTCTACCTTTACTACCACGACTACGACTACTGAGAGTATATATCAGAGACGGCACTCAATGTTAAACGTAAAGCCCTTATTATCGTGGAGGGGAGAAATTCGAATCTCCCACCCCAACAGAAACAACTAATGAGAAAGAGGCAGCCCTATTCGCCCACCGCCAGCCAATAAGCGTTGAAAGGCAGTAAACCAATTGAAATGGAGGACGGACGTAAACCCGGCTATTTGAAATTACATTATTTAGTAAATTTTCAATATGGTGGACATGGTTATGTACTAAATAAAATGTATTTTACATAAAAATGAATGCCCAAGGTAATGTAGAAGTCAGTAATTCTTAAAGAATATGTAATTGTGAGGAAGTGAAAATTAAAAAAGGTCTTCTTCTCCATTTCAAGGATTAGGCAGAAATGCCTGTTTCGTCTTCACTTTGCACTTCAGGACCATCTCTTTCTGGGTCGGACGATAGCTCTTCTTCCCTTCGGTTGGTAGTTCATCATTAATTGTGGAATTCGATCTTATATTTATGTTGTATGTATCTAGTTCTTTACGGATGTCCTCATTTCTTATCTGGTCTTGTTTAATGCAGCGTTTAACTTTCCTAAGAAATCTCATTTCTGCTGCTTGGAGCTTACTTTGGTCTCTTTTTTTCACTATCCACGATTCACTTCCATACAGCAGAACTGGAGCAGCCATTGTCATTCATTGAACTTCATTTTTGTGTCTTTCCTTGCTTTGGTCTGTAGTGTTCTGTTTATTATTCCACATATTGATTGAAATTTATTAGTTTTATTTTTTTTTATGTCTTCTCTGTGTCATAACTGAGCACACAAGGTAATTAAAATTTGAGTCTGGTCGATCACTGTTTTGTCATAACTTATTTTTGAGCGTGTGGGGTATTTCCCCAATGAGCCATAACTTTAGTCTTCCTTTTAGAAATTTGGAGATTATACTCTTTTTCTTCCAGTTTGTGCAGTGTGTCTGCTTTTTTGCAGATCATCTTCACTTTCTTTGCAGTATGTTACGTCATCTGCATAAAGTAGAACATTTAGGGTGTTATTCTGCTTCAACTGTATTCCAGAACTAGCTATGCATCTCCATTTTTTAATAAGGTATCAATATCTATATTGAATAGTGTTGGAGATAAACTACCATCCTTGTTTAAGTTCCCTATTTATTAATATTTTCTTCAGTCTTCTTTATGCAGTTATTTATTATATATTTTTTTGTCTCGTGATACATATTTTTGATGATTTTTATGAGGTGTTTTCAAGGATAGCCATCTTTCGTTCGTTATTTTCCATAGCTTGTGTCTGTCCCACGCTCTCAAAAGCGTTTCTCGAAGTCAATAAAGGCTACACGGGTTTCTTATTTTACTTCTCGTCGTTTTTCTAATATTCTTTTAAGACTCAAAATGTCGTTAAAAGAGCGTCCTTTCCGAAAAATCCCGATTGTTCTTCTTGTAATTTAGCCCTCTGCTATAATTTTCATCGAGCGTTGATAATTTTTGCAAATACTTTATAAGCGGCTTCATGAGGCTGATACCGCTGTAGTTTTCCACATTCATTTCTTTTACCTTTTTTAAAGATAGATATGACCTCTGTTATTTTCAGCTATTGGGTGTCTTATAAGATTTCCAGCATTTCGTTGGACAGATGAAGCAGTCTAAATTCGCTAGAGGGCCTGCCTATGTTTATGAGTTCCATGTTAACTCCATCAGGACCACATGCCTTCCTGTTTTTTTCAATCTGTTCAAGGCTTGCTTTAATTCAATCCAGGAGATGGAATCACTGTATTGTTGTAGCGAAGCTTCTTTCTCTTTAGGTTCAACAGTTTCCAGTACACAAAAGGTTTATATAGTGTTTTGCCTTCGCATTGGTTCTTTCATTGATTATGCGTATATCTTGCAACATTTCTTCTCCGTCTGATTTAAATGTCTTAACGCTTTGTACGCGAACATTTGTTCTTCCATGTTATGCATTTTCGATGGTACTTATAAATCTACCCATGAGTCATTATGTGCAGATCTAATTATTTGTTTGGCGTTATTCTTTTTTCTTTATATTCTTCTTTAGCTTCTTGGGTTTTTGTTTTTGAAGGAATTTTTTTATATGATATATCGTTATCTTTATGGCTTTCGCTATACAATCGTTCCATACTCTCAGTCCCTTCTCTTTCTTATGATTTTTTTTTCTTTCCTAAAGTTTCATATGCTGCCCTCTCTATGCATTCCTTTATATCTGCATTCTTATCCCATCATCAACAGTTGGAACACTTGACAGAAATTGTTGTCATCGAACTTTGATATAGTCTTTTTATGCTTTCTTGTTGCAAGTAAGTACACTTTGAAAAATTTTCCTGACTTGTCTCTATTCCTTGGTCTAATTTTCTTGCCATTTGCTACATTCGCTATTGTTGCAATCACTAGTAGTGGTCTGAATCATATATCACATCCTCGGTGTACTTTGTACATTCTCTATTGGTTACTAATTTTATCATTTGCGATTACATTAATCTATCAGTGATCTGAGGCCTCTGGCACTCCAGGTGAACTTGTGGTAATTTTTTTTTTCCTGAGAAAAGGTATTAGCAATTTTCACTTTATTGAAGGCTGCAAACTGTCAAAGTTTCTTCTCCGTTTTTATTTAAGTGCTGTTTTCCAAATACCCCCGACAACTCCCGCGAATCGGAATGTTACCAACGCCTGGCGCTTAGGTCGCCACAGACGAGGGACATGATTATTTTTTGTTTATTTTGCTTTGTTTTTGAAGATCGTCATAAAACGTCCGTGTGTACTCTTTCCCTTCGCTTCTTCTGGGCATAACGCCTATACGTATTAAGTGGCCCCTCCTCTTTTTTGATTTTGCACGTCACAATTAACTCATTGACAAAGGAATACTCCACGTATCCTATTTTTGCCACTCTTGTTAACCATAATTGCTACCCCACTACTTGCCCGTCTATTTTGAGTTACTCCACAGTAGATCATCGTATAATATTTCATATCTTTTTTGTACCTTTCAGCTCTTTTTTTTGGTTTCCGTTATGACAGCTATATCTATTCCTTTGTCGTTTAGTTTGTTATCTAGTTCTTCTTCTTTATTACCTAGCCCTCTGACTTCCAGGTAGCTAGTTTTAATCGTCCCGTAATACGAATCGTTTATCCTTGGCATGCTTAGTCGTTTCCCATGATCCATCCAGTTGTGCATTTGTGAAGAGAGCCAGTAGTTATTGAATCCCCTGGCGCGTTCCGAGCGCGGCGCAGGTTAAGTTTGGTAATGGGCTGCCACTCACAACTTCCAAACAAACTGGGTGGTATGTTGAGCCACCGACCTAGGCGCAATTGCCTTTGCTGGGCTAAGAGTTCCGACTCCCTTTCTGAGGACAGTCTCGCCATGTCGAAGCGAAGATTAGTGTCGGAACTTCCTCTTCTTCGTTCAGGTCCTCTTCTTTGGGGCTATCTAACGCCGGTGTCCTCTGTTCTGGAGTACTTCTTCGTCTGACCCCTCCCTTCCGACTGTCTGGCAAGGGGCGCCCTACCAGTAGCTACGCTACCGCTGTATAGCTCTCAGGTTCACGGGGGCCACCAAGCTCCCACCACGTCAAGGTCCTGCACTCCCTAGGTGGATTAAAAAAAAGGTATTT